CCTCCCACCTCTAAAACTGTAACTGCTTCTCACTGCCTATTCTCTACAGGTTTCTTCAGACTTGCGAGCGACAGTGCCTAGGGCACTTTTGAGGAATCTTTGGTGTCATAACCAGAAAAATGATTATTGAATAATAAGTATCCGTTGTCTTGAAACTTGTTGAGAAAATGTATGTGTGCTTCATTGCAAATATGCAAATACATCATGATGATGTCATCGACTGAAATTTGTTCTAGACAATCCCATTGAAAACTGTCAATATATGTAAACAATACTCATCTGCTCATCTGTACGTCGTTGACAACACCTGACAATTGAGCCAATTAAAACTCGATAAGATAAAAATCCTAATATTTCACAGGTTTCAGTTGGCAAAACATCTGAACAGTAATGTACAAAAAAGATATAACTTAGGGAACAGAAGCGAGTTGAAGTCTTTCTACACTAATGTAGCAATCTGTTCAACGTGCAAAAATCCTATCATCCATCTGGAGCATCACCATATTTGGACGGCCTATTGCATCACAAATCTCATGCAGTCTGACCAATCACAAGGCATGCTCTAGTGGTCTGCAACAGATTGTGAGCATTTCCCTACCACAGAGTGCTTTTCGTAAACTTAATTGAAGCATGTGGAACATAAAACACTGACTAAAACTTCCTTTTGCGAAAAACTGATTTGATATAAAAGAGACATTATAAAATCCTCAACTAGACATTCTTATAAAAGGCGTTTGTATTAATATAATTTCAAAATTCATTGTTGCCAACTTGAGATATTTAACGTTGAAGTTGGACGAAAATTGCTGTATGCATAGGGAACAGGGAAAGGTCGCTATGCCCATGTGGTAATACTCCTGACTAACCATGCCAGTATCTGGTGGGAATAGAATAAAGCCTTGTTTGCAACTTGTGGCTGAGGAAATATCTGGGCATTTGGCAGTTTGACATCTGAAAGCATCCCTAGATCCAATGTACTCAACACGTTAACTGCTGCTGGATTCACCGGTACCTTCCACAGTGACTGCAAAAGTGCAACCGCCGACGTTGCCCGCCTGGTCCTCAAACTCGTAGCTGACCACAGTCGTTCCAAGGGAGAACCTCTCGCCAGATCGGTGGCTCTGGTTCCTGAGGCGGACTCCTTCAAAGGTGTCAAAGGTTTCAGGTTCTTCCCAAAAGATACTCCGTCCATCCCCGCCCATGTCTGTGATGTTCCTGGGGCAGACTACTGTTGGTGGTACGTCATCTGAACACCCGCAAATGGATAGATGTGGGGGGAAGTAAAGTATTGTAGATACACTAAGGGTATATTACTCAAGAGTACACATCAACTTCAAACAAACAACAAAGCAGCTCCCTTTTTCAGTATTTATGTTTTGTTCTAAGGAAGAACTACAGAGATGCCATTTTGTCTTCAGGATTTACAGGTATGTCCAACCTTAAGAAAAAATAACAAAATTAAATCTAAATGCCAAAAATCTGATCATGTGAAGATCAACATTGAGTTTTTAGATATTTCTCAAATGAAATTTTAAAATATTTGCTATGTAACTAATTTTTACAAAACAGCAAAATTAAAATGCAATACATCAAAACCAAAGAAAACTTGGAATAAGGTGTTTTGTGTCTTCCTTAAAATTAAGATATAAGGAATTAACTTGGTTAGACAAATAAGTGTCATTAAAATGGGAATCTGAGCAGAATATTTCTGACAATTTCATTCTGTGGAGGAAAATCTTATACAGAAATAAAACCAACAACGGGATAGGTGGTCACAGCAAAAAATTACACCAAACACTTCCTTTCATTTTGTCATTCTAACTCACCAAATATGACCATCACTGTGAATTGACATCTTTCTTGGTTGCTTGCGCCGTCAGTGAACAGATAAAGCACAGTTGTATCACCAACTGGGAAGACATCACCGGGGTCATGTGTGCTGCTGACGGTGGTTAAAGTATCCAATACTGATGGTGGTACCCATTCCACAGGCCTTCCACCAAGGGATGTGAATGTTTGAATGTCCGAGGGGCAATCTTGGATTTGGAAACCTGCAAACAGTGCTAATCAAGATTTTATGAAAAATAACGGTGATTGTCTTCCCATTTTTGGCTTTGTCACAAGTTTTTCATTCTCCCCAGAATCCTTTAGACTTTGCATGTGATTTTTTACAGTGGCACTTTTTTATCATCTTAACAAACTTACGAGAAGAAAAGACCTTTCACTTAAAACTTGCACTGAACATTTACACCATAATGATGTCATTACAAGTCACATTATCTCTAAAACCACATGTCTGATTTTAAAATGTATTTTTGGCTACATCCTGGGTTGTACAAGTTGTAAAAAAATTGAAATGACATAAGATGACATCATCACTCAATTTTTTATGAATTATTTTATTTTTGCTCATTTTTTTCTACTTCTCAACAAATCTCAATTCTTTTGGAAGACCTTTAAGAGACAAGAGCTCTGTCTCTTAAAGATCTTACAAAAGAATTGAGATTTGTTGAGATATTCGGCCTTGGTGAAAAATTAATTAATGTCATCAAAAAGGCAAGGTTTGTTATGCACACTGGAGATTATCCAGTCCTCTTAACACTCGGTGGGAAGATGTTGTATGAGTGATGCATTGCAGACATGAAAATATTTCAGGATGAAGTCGTCAGTTGATTTTTTTTTCAGAAAGTAACTTTTAGAAGAAATACCCGTCAACCATATGCAAACAATATCTGTTGACCTGTCTTTACCAACTCCGAGCGTAAACGCCAACTGAAACTTACTGAGATAAAGATCCTAATATTTCCTGGGTTTCAGAAGGCACAGAGTCTGGACAGTAATGCACAGCACTACATCCTAATCCCCCAAAATTTAATAACACCAGGAAATCCTTTCCAGGGGAAAGCATCCTGTGATATTGCAAAGCTCATGGTCACTAGTATGTGATTGAATTATATCCTCATGTGTGAATTTGGAGGGCAAGGTGAACTTTTGGGATGAGGATGTGTGTCAAAGTCTTCATACATCAGAAGTACATTCAACAAAATGCAGCCGTCTGTTTGAAACGCAAACTCATATCTCGCCTGTATTTGATGGGAACACAAGAAAGCCATGTGGCTGTAGCATGCAATGCCTGGTTCTTTAGAAATTTGCAAATAAGTACAATGGGCACAGCTGTCAGAACCACAGCAGCCAGTTTCAAACTACCCCCGGAACTGTGGGGTCCGACGTCCGCACCGCCGGTGGGAGCGGAGCGGAGCGGACGTCGGACCCCACAGATCTGGGGGTATTAGCTTCAAACAGGGCTTTATACCAACGACACCCCAAAGCAACACTTTAACTGCTGCTTTCTTTACCTTCCACAGTGACTGCAAAAGTACAGCCGCCGACGTTGCCCGCCTGGTCCTCAAACTCATAGCTGATCATGGTCGTTCCAAGGGGGAGCCTCTCGCCGGATCGGTGGCTCTGGGTCCTTAGTCGGGTTCCCTCACAGACATCAAATATTTGAGGTCCTTCCCAGTTGACAGTCCGTCCGTCCTCCCCCCTGTCAGCAATAACTGTGATGTTCATGGGGCACACTACTGTTGGTGGTGCATTATCTGAACACCCACGAATGGGTATGGAAGGGAAAAATGTTATGAAATAATGAGATTCAATCCCAATCAAACTTACACCACACCAGTTAAAGATCTCAGGCTGAAGATGAGCAAAGAATATACGTCATGATTACATCATCGCAAAACCACAAGCCCGATTAACCTCGTTTCATCCCAAGTTGTGAATTAATGACAAGATATTCTCAAAATTCTTTTGTAAGACCCTTGGGAGACAAATTAGATATATGCAATCTTTGTGGAAATGTTCGTGACTTCATGATAACGTTATCAAAACAGAAAGTTTTTGTTTTGCATAAATTATCCAGTTGTCTTGACACTTGATGGGAAGATGCTGTACGTTTTATGCACTGTATAAAGAGACTTCAAATGATGTAATCGGCTGATTTATAAAAAATATTTATTTTGGCACTTTTTAACGTTAGATTATTTGAAATGCATTAATATAAACTCCTTCACTATCAAAAGTATCCCAAACAATTACATTATGATGACATCATCAAGCAACATGGAGTTTATTGTTTATAACGTTTATTGACAAGTTCCACTTTTCCCTAAAAATTAAATTGCGAGAAAACACTGAAAGCTTTTAATGAAGCAGAAAAGCTATATGCATTTCGTGCCGAGAGGCAACTCTAGTTTTTCCTCAAGTTAAACTTGGAAAGACAACAACCTGAACGACAAAATAAAACCTGAGAAACTTTCCTCAAAGCAATGGCACAGGCCTATATCGGGGGTCAGCGTTGCTGGATGATGCTGCAAGGCCTTATTTTATTCAGGACAGGCCAAGATGGACCGGTACTTGTAAAATAGGCTTGGTGAAAGCATCAAACTGACCAGAGCGCTCCCCCGAGAGAAGGGAAAGCCCCTTTCACACCGCTGCTGGAATGTAGACCTAATCAAAGATTAAGGGACAGGGGATATCTCTTACAAATTATTACAGGGAACAACCTAGTTTAGCCTGTATATGATGTAATCGGGGTGGGTGCTAAAACCCAACCTACATCATTGCTTTGATGGTAAATCCCCAAACAACTTAACAGCTGCCACGGTTTTTTTCACATAAATTCCAGCTTTGAGGTCAGCAGGGGGGTGAGAGGCAAATCCAAAACAGTCTTGGGGCTGAGAAAACCTGGACCTTTTGGGGGGAGGGGGCAAAATGAGGATTTTTATATATCCTTTAATGGCCTAGCTTTATGAGGGGCGACGGACGCTACATTTTGGGGCTTTTGTGTGCTTTTTGAAGAAAGGGAAAAGAAACCACTGCCAAATTTGCACCTTTCTTAAAAATGTTTTTAAGCTCCTTTTGAGACCCCCGGTGTCCGCCTTAGCAGATCAGAGGCGTTGTACCGGCTGCGCGAGTAACTTAGCCTACTTCAATTTACCTTGAATTTGAACAGTTACGTTAAACCTGCAAGTGAAGATTGTGGAATCCACAGTATTTTGCCACTGGTATATGACCACAGTTGATCCAAGGGGAAACGTGTCACCGGGACTGAAGTTTCGATTCCATAAGCGGAGATCTGTCCCAGTCACAGGAGGGTCCTCCCACGAGACAGGCCACCGCTGTGTGCCGGGTGGGGCACACCTTGTCACATCAGCGGGGCAGGGCACCATGGTTCCTAAAAATTTCACCATAAACAAATTGCTTACAACGTGGTACCATAAAAGTGACTTAACCTCCCACTAAAACTACTTGTCAACAGGTGTCAAGTTAACAGAGTAATGCTGAAACTGACCGCTAAATAAATTGTCCCAAGCCCCAGTCCAATGGGGCACAGAACCTGTGTGCAGAAACCGTGCACCCTCCTCATCAAATGTGACCACAAGAAAGCCATTCCACACGCATGAGCTATTCTGTCAATGGTGTCATTGCAGTACTAAGTCCAAGTAACTTGGACTCTACAAATTGCTTCTTTTAACATTATTTTGGAACTGATCAGGCTATTTGAAGCAAGATATGGGATGAAGAGAACCCTTTTGTGTTGGTCATTGTTTGATTGGAATCTCAGGAATTCTTTTCAGACACCTAGGGGGTGTAGTCTACAGGGATTGGAAATTGGAGGGGGAGGACCTATCCGTCCTGTATTTTGTTGGGTCAGGCGACAGGAAAGTCCACCCTCGATCTTCCCTTCCATCGATTTCACTCAAATAGCTCATACACTGGTCCTACCCAAAATTAAAATCTTCAGAATTCCCCTGCAAAACTGTCCGTAAACTGCCTAATGCACCCACTGTAAGATTCAGCCTGGTGGGAATAGGGAAAATCACTTGGTGGTAAGGGTTACTCATGCTCATATATTACAGAAGAAGAAAAGAGAAATTCCCCATCTAAATTGGAAACGCTCGTTTGGCTAGTGTGTGTATGGCAAAGAAGAGGGAGCCGAAATCGTTTACCGCGCACTCGGTGGCGTAATTACGCGGGGGCCGGGGAGATGTCCCCCAGCGGATGCCCGTGCCCCCAGGTACCCCCCTTTGAAATTTATGACTTTAAAACTTCCAAAGAGGGAAAGAGGGAATCGGCTCGGGCGAAAAATACCGAAGCGAGCGGCATGTTGTTTGTGCAAAATGTTCCACTGTAGCTCAAAATCCTTTCTTGCCTCAAAAGAGGACCTTTTAGTCGCGTAGGGGGAGGGCACGCGTTCTGTGCCCCCCCCCCCCCCGTTACGGGCCTGATTTCAGCAGGATTTAATTAAAGAGCTGCAACTACCAGGTTTTTCTAAAGTAATTCTGAGGCAACAGAGGCTTGTCTCCGGTAGCCATTTGAAAGAGCACCCCCTTCCCAAAAAACTTTGAGGCCATCGAACCTAAAAAATACGTGATGTTAAAAGGGAGCATACTACGCGGGGAGGGGTAACGGGTCACGACGTCCCCCCCCCCCATTATAGGCCTACAAATAAATACAAATTGGAGCAGTCTTTCTTTGAAAATGAAAAGAGGCGATTCTAGTCTCTTTCATTTCATTTCCTTCCAAAAGCGTTTAAAAAGCTTCACAAAAATCCATGTCAGTTGTTTTAAGAGCTTTTTTCAAAATCCGAATCCCCAAGTGATATTGGATCCCATATCCTCCCAAAGTTGATTCAGGATCCGCCTTTGCTCTGAGTTGGCGGTCCTCGGTGTATCCGGGTTTAAATTGGCGGTGAATCCGGGCAGCGACGACCCCTGGTGGAAATAACAGATGCGATGTCCGTATAAGCCACGTGCTAGCGGCTGCATGTAGGTAGGGCCAATTTCGTAAGTTTTCTCAGTTCAAGTCGCAAGAACATCACCCACATTCTCAGAGAGCTAGTCTCCACTGTAATATTCGCCACTGCTAAAAACATATATATATACCCGTTGGCCTTGCAACCAACATCCGGGTTTTTACCCAGGCGGGTGAGAACGGCTAACTGTCGGCCGGCACTCCCTTGTTTGCCAGAGCCACAAAACCTGGGTTCAAACATTTGGTATTAGTTTGAATAAGAGCACAAAGTGAAGTTTTATATAATTTTGTACCCGGTGTTCAAATCGAAGTACATTTCGAACAGGATTTGAAATTGCTCGAAATCCATTCTAAGGACGGTGAATGGGTGAGGTAAAATAGGTTTGGCCGCGGGCTACATTTTGAACATATCGATCATCACTGAAAATGTTACGTTTCCGGCAGGAACAATTCTGATCGTAAATATCACAGACTGCACTCAGTTCACTTGGACTTTTAACACGAAGTGGGAATAAACTAAATCTAAATTAATCTAAATTCGCCAGTTGAGATACACGTAGCGTAATAATGTTTTTATTATAAGAACAAATCACTGCTTTCCAAGATCCCATTTCGGGTGAGTTCCGGAATTTCGAATACTTTATACTGTCATGGTCTTATCACCGCTGTAAGGTGTCATTACCTGGCGTTGTCTGTGCCGCTGGCGGTGGTGGGGTTATTGCAGCGCATCCAAACATCATTTTGATTGCAAACACGGCCAAAAAAGCCAAAGACCGCATCTCGCTGGTCGGTGGTAAAGCTGACAGTCAGTGGAGTGGAAAATCAACCAAAGTCGATGGCAAAGATGATGTCCTTTAAGCGCTCTTCCTGGCAAATGACTGAGCTACCCACGATGACATCGTTTACGTTTTATTTCTTACGCTGCACGGAGTGTGCCACAGTTACTTGCATTTCATTTTCAACAGGAAAGACCACGCGGTGTGGAGAAGTTACAACGGCTTCCTGTTTCAGCTGTACCGAGGGGAAAAAAAGGTCATAGAATTCTGCAACACAGCGGAACTCAGCGGTTGCATCGTCTTGGTGTCCAGTAAAGAACAGATCCGGGTGTCGTGTGAGATTGTTCGGGGAAAATAGAATCACAAG